GGGCAGAAGATTGTAAGATTCAGAAAGCATGAATTACTTCAAAGAAAGAGTGTCTTCCAGATACAAGAGAACTGATGCACATATGAACTCACAGGGACAATGCCAATGTGCATAAGGTCTTCCCAGAATCAAGCCAGATGAGATCCCAGCACTGAGAGGAGAAAAACTTCCATCCATAATCAAGAAGCTCTCTTCAGTCATCACCTGTTTGTATTGGAAAATTAGTTTTCCCCAGTGGAGTCTCACTGGTTATATTGAATAAATGCTAGGGCAGGCCCCAAGCCCAGCATTAGACGGTCAAAGGAGTTTTTCAGACTTTTTGTCTCATATTGTTTTGCTTGGGCATTTTTTGTCTTACTTCTTTTTTGCTTGTATATTATGTTTCTGGTTTTTGATTTTCTGGTGTGTGTGTGCGTGTGTGTGTGTGTGTGTGTGTGTGTGTGTGTGTGTGTGTGTGTATGTGTGTGTGTGTGTGTGTGTATGTGTGTGTGATTTTTTTGTACTTCTTTGTTTTTATTTTTTACTCATTTTATTTTGTCTGTTTGCTTTCTAAAAAGACAATTAAAAAAAGAGTACTGAGTTTATTGAGTAGGGAGATGTAAATGATCTGGAAGGAATCAGAGAAGCAGAAACTATGATTAGAGTATATTGTTTGAAGAAATATTCAATAAATGTATTTTAAAGGTATATATTTTGTGTAGCTGAAAGTTTTCCTGTGTCCCACTCAGTCCGCAATGCTCAGATGCAAGTAAACACAGAGTGGCTTATATTAATTCATGTAGAAGTAATCAACCATATTATTAAATAAGAAACACAGAGACAATACAGAGATAAAAGCCAAGAGGTCAGAGTAATAGCTAAGAGCTAAAAACCTTACCCTTCACTATCGCCGTGGTCCAACCTTTTCGAAAGAGAGCTACTTCCTGTATGTCTGTCTTTATATAGACTTTCTGTTTTGCCTTCTCATTGGTTATAAACCCAACCACATGATCACCTCATCACTGCCTGTTGGTACAGACCTCCAGGTCTTCTATGGTTGGTATTGAGATTAAAGGCATGTGTCTCCATGCTGGCTGTATCCTTGAACACACAGAGATCTACCTAGCTCTGCCTATCAAGTGCTGGGATTAAAGGTGTGCACCACCACTGCCCAGCTTTCACTATGGCTTGCTAATAGCTCTGACCCCCAGGCAACTTTATTCATTAACATACAAGTCACATTTCAGTACAAATAAAATATCACTATATTTCCCCTTTTCTATTTTAATAAAAAGGAAAAAGGGAAAAGGTTATAACTAACATAAGAAAAACTATATACAAAAGTACAATAACTATATATGGTATATACAAGTAATAAATACCTAAACAATGTCTAGTCCATTTGTATTTGACAGAATCAGAGAAAATAATTCCATTATCTATCCTGTTTTGGTAAGTCCAAAATGTCCCTAATTCACTTTCTATCCTAACTAATCTTCAACTATAACTAACTAATCTTCAACTCCCTCAGAGACCCAAGAAGGAAATAATATTACCTAATAAAAAATAAAAACAGGAAGTACATGCAAGTGAAACAATGAAAATTGATGAGCAAGTATCTATGTATTAGAATGTAGAGTCCTTGGGTATATGCCCAAGAATGTTATAGCTGGATCTTGGAAGTAGATCTATTTCCAGTTTCCTGAGAAACAGCCACAATGATTTCTCTAATGGCTGTGCAAATTTACACTCTCATCAGAAATGAATAAGTATTCCCCTTGCCCCATATCCTAGCCAATATTAACTCATTTTTTCTTGGATCTTGGTTATTATGGTTGGTATGTGATGAAATCTCAAAATAGTTTTGATTTCCATTTCCCTGATGAGTAAGCATGTTGAACATTTCTTTAACTATTTCTCTGCCATTTGTGTTTTTTAAAAATTAAAAAAAACTAATGTGTCTGAAAAAATTCATTTATAAAAAACATGAATTGTGTGAAATTATATTTTTATATTAATGTTAAAGTGATTTTTAAAATACTGTTCTCACTATGCAGCCCTGTATGGCCTGCGACTCTCTACATAGACTTATATGGCAGTGAACTCACTGAGCTCTATCTGAATCTACCAAGTGCTGGGATTAAAAGTGCACATCAGCATGCCAACATAAAATTAATTCTTAAACAACATTTCCAATTGTTGTCTAAACCTACATACAAACAAAACAGAATTTTAGGGAAATATAATTTTATAGAGATACAAACTATCAGAATTCCTAGGATAACTAATCAAGCTGATGTTATTGATGTAACTTCTCCCAATGAATTCCTCTTTTTTTCTCTAATTATATTCTAAACTGTAAAAATTCTTTTTTTTACTATTCTTTTTTATTATTAAGAAATTTTCTATTCATTTTACATACCAACAACAGGTGCCTCTCTGCTCCCTTCTCCCATCCCCTAGCCTTCTCTCCCCAACCCACCCCCCATTCCCACCTCCTCCAAGGCAAGGACTCCCATGGGGAGTCAGCAGAGCCTGGTGCATTCAGTTGAGGCAGGGCCAAGCCCTTCCTCCTGACCCAAGGCTGTATAAGGTGTCCCACCTTAGGCACTGGGCTCCAAAAAGCCCGCTCATGCAGCAGGGATGGATCCTGATCCCACTGTCAGGGGCCCCTCTTTTTTGTTCTGTTGATGTTTCTTTGTTAGAAAATCTGTAGCTATGCCAAGCAGTGTCTTTGCTCTGTGTTTAAGCTATGATTCTACTTCATCATTTGTTCACCTTTTTTCATCTAGTATGGGTCTTAAAATATTTTTGGATGGTTGGAGTTTGACATGCAGAGATGACACAAAATATGTACATCAAAAATGTTGCAGGGAAGCTCTTGCTGCTTTCATATATATGTACAAAATTATGTTGGTATAAATAGCAGAACCATTAATAAGTTTATATTATCTATATTGGTAAGCTGGATGGTACAATGAGCACATCCCTGAGTAGTGAATGGAATAAATGTTGCAAAATCTAGTGAATATAATTACATCAATATAAATATTTTTATTAAAGTATTTTATATAGTGTCCATGGACCAATTATCTGATTTCATACATAAGATGGTCTCCTGTATGTTTTAAAATTATCTAACTTCATTGTCCTTATTCCTTCCCAAATTTATTCTCATTTCGTATAAACTATCATACTATAACGAACTTGCATGTTTTTACCTTATTGGATTCTGAGCAGGACTGTGCTACTTCTCTTAACCTACATTGTGTGCTATGTTGTCAGGCTTCATCATTTTGCCAAAGTGAATGTGTTTTGCTTCTAAATGTTCATCTTTACTCATTTATTTACAGACCTATATTTTAAATGAAAGCAATGAGCCAAAGATCATTTAATCTATACAACCTAGACAACCTGATCTGCAAGATAATATTACATAATACTTAAAACAATGTAAAACATGGGAACAGGCACCGATGAATATTTTTATATTCAGAGCATGGCACAGTAGCCATATTGAATGAGGCCTCATTTACTATCTTTAATTACAGTTTAACTGCAAGTTTGAAAGTCATTTTTAAATGGGTAGTCTTATGTATTCATATGCTCTCATAATACATTCTAAAAATTCAAATTCGTTCTTGATTGAAGTCACAACATGAGGTTTAAATGTTATCTTGTGGGCACTAATTTCCTCCTCCATAACTAGTTGTGTGAGTCCACATTTCAATTCTAAAGCCCTTTCCTTTCCACTGTAATATGTCTTGGAAGGTTTAAATCACACATTCAAGAAATAATTGCCATTTTAAATTGAACTCAGAGCAGAACAAACCAATTACTGTAGGTGCATCAGTGTAAAGCATTTTGCTCTTCTGCGAGCTGCAGCAGCGTGCACATTCCCTCTATCACTATTATTATCACGTTACCATTTCCTCTGTATTCATGGCCTGAAGCAGACTAAAAAGCTTCTAAAGGGATGAACATCCTTGAAGTTCATATTGGAATTTAATGGTCATATTTGGCATAATTTAAAATATGAGAAATCTCTAGTTAAACTAATTTATATTCCCTCTCAAAATTTGAGTCTGTAGTCTGATAGTAGAACTAGTAAAAATAAAAATGTATACAGTTTACTATATATTATAACTAGAGAGATTGAAATCTGTACATAATTAAAACTAGTGTTTAAGAAATGTATTTTAAGATGTAATGTTTTATCACATATCATAGTGACAAATAAAGGTTATTGACTAAAAGTTTTCTATTATCATTTAAGATGTTCTTATATTTTTAATTTCACTAATTTATTCACCTATTTGACATAGTAGCATATTCTACCCTAGGTTAGCCTCACAAATTATGTATTATTACCCCAGTCTTATTTTATATGGGATTGTTAGAATGTGCCACTTCACCTACCTTTTATTCTTAAAAATAAAATTTTGGGGTTATAATTTGCCTACAGTAAAATGTACCTTATTGTAAATGAATACAATGCATCAAGATACAAGAGAGTTCCATCACATTTGGGAAAATATAAAACATATCCACTGTCTCCTTGCCACTTTGCAATCTGTCTCTCCTTCACTCTGAGTGTTGTGAAATATTGTTCCACTTCCTGTCGCTTTTGATTTCTTTTGAGGCTTTGAAATATTATAAATAGAATTACACAGTACATAATCTTTTGATTTCTTCTCAGCATGTTGACTTTTTATTCATTTATAGCTTCTTTACCAATATTTCAATTTTAACTATAAGAAATATTCGCTTATCAATGTGCTGGATAGTTGAATCAATTTCAAATTTAAGCTTTTACGTATCATAAACAGTTTTAAATACATACTGTAATGAAATCCTGGCCTTCAAAGCTCACTAAAAAGGAGCAACATGGAAGTGTAGGGAGATTCCACTTTGATTTTAATTTGCATTTCTCAGATGACTAATGTTTAGCATAGTTATTTGTGTATATTGACCACTTAGAATGCTCTTGACAAACATGCCCTTTCTTTTTTATTTTGCAGACTTATTTTGATTATTTGTCTTTTTGCTATTGAGCTATAAGATTTTGTTCCTCATAATAGATGTAAGTATCACATTGGTTGAGAAAGCAGTTGCCTGACTCTTAATATTCTCTGTGCTAAAAGAAAGGTACGTGGAGATTACATATAAAGAGAATTTTTTCCTGTGGCTAGGAACAAATATTTGTAACAATTACCTTAGGCAATTATTGTAACCTGACAGGCAAAATAAGAACAGTGATGAGGGTATGGCCCAAACACTGTAGCTCCTCGAGACTACACAGAAATGAGTTAAAAAGCTGAGAAAAATATAGCCCACTCATTTCTGAAAAATAAATGAGCATGGAGCACCAATTAAAGAATTTCAAATATATATTCACCTTTACTTTTTAAAAGTAATAATTATTCTCAAATCTGAACATTGTTTTCACTTTGATATTTTAAATCAGTGCTGGTACATAGATTACAATGGTTCATCATCTCTTCTGGGACCTAAAGCAATAACACGTGATTTCCATTGTTGTGCTATATAAGCACATAAAGAATAAGTTTTTCAGGCATTTATTTTAAGAGACCCAAATAAAGAAATACAAATTAGATGAGTATTTAAACAAAGGTTAATACTGAGAGCAGACTTTCACACATATGTACATAAATATTCTCTCCCACCCACCTCTCCCTATTGTTCTGAGATATATTCCCTTGTATATGTTCAGGAATGTGACCCTGTGTGTATAGAGGATAGAGAAAGAGTATTGAGTGTCCTCTATGACTGTCTTATACTTTGAGGTGAGGTCCCTCAGTGAACATGGAACTCAAGATTTTGGTTAGATTCACAGTCAGGAAACTCCAGGAAGAGTCTGTATCCCTATCAGTTCTAATCTTACAGATGTTCATAGGAGCACAATTAGCTCTTTGGAAATGGGATCAGGGATCTAGTCCTCATGCTGTGTAGCAAGTACTAGGTAGCCCTGAAGGTAAGATTTTCGGTTTAATTTACAGAAGCACAAAATAGTGAAAATTAGGGGAAAAATTGTCTACTTATTTACTGTAAACATAATCCTTAGTTGTTTTCAGATCTTTATCTTTGCTTTGTACAAAGGAAAAACTTAGAGAATTATTGGAGAGAGTAGAAAAACAGGAAGTAGGCAAAGTCATAGTATTAGTCAAGGTTCTCCAGGAAAATATCACGATTAAGATGTTTATTTTTTCACTCATTACACTGAATTACTTCATCAAATTATAGAGTAAGAATTCCCAGTATTTACAGTGAGTATGATAGAGACTTGAGAGAGAATAATGTTGTAGTCTTAAAAGTGAGGGCGCAAGAGCCCCAAAGAGCAAATGTTTCTGTCTGAGTATGAAACCACACACACACACACACACACACACACACACACACACACACACACACACACACAAATCATCTTCTTTTAACTCCAGTCAGTGGCAGTCAGCTCTTTGATCCACTCAAGCCTTGAGTTGCCTGAACAAGAATATCCACATTATGAAAGCCAGCCTTTTTTTCCCTATACTCTGGGTTCTAATCAAGTTTTTATATAAAATTAATCACCACAATAATATTTAAGTAGATCATTTCATTGAAGTTTCTTGTTATTTCACATTCATTCCATGTAACCATAACATATGTGAACAATATTAACACACCTCTCCTTAAGAACAGCTAAAACATGACATGATCCGAGTATATTCATCTTTCTTGCTTTCCTGTCTTTTCTCTTGCTCTCTGCTCGATCCTTTCACTTCCCTGTTACAGTGCACTTGTGCTCTGCTGAACACTTTGAATCATTTTCTTCATGTTAAGTTTCCTGATATTAAAAATGATGATCAGGAAGCTTGCTATGAGATTGTTGGGAGTTACATTCATAAAGTCTCACCAACATAATTTCCCATACGTGAACAGAACAAGGACAACAGCAATAGACATGCTAAAACAGAGGGGGGGGGAAGCCCCTGAGGCCTTATACTATACAAAGAATACAGGCAATTAAGGAATGATGAAATAAATTAAATATCTCTTAAAATACCTTCCTTTGTGATATACCCTTTTATAGTTTGAATTACCACCAGTTTACAGTGTTCCTGGTAGGCTATGGAACATTTAGGAGGTAGAATCTTGTGAAAATAAGTTACATTATTGGGTGCATACCCTCGAACTATTTATAAGAATAGTAGTTTCTTATTCCCTTCTCCTCCACCCCCCCTCTCTCCAATCTCATTCAAATCAGCATGGATAGGCTGCCCTGTGTACAAAATCAAAGCAGTTGTCCATTCAGGATTGTAGACAAAGCATAATCACATAAAAATGAAAATGTAGAAATAGTGGAATCAAGGAGAATGATGCAGTAGTATGAGGCTGTAAAGACAATGAAGCTATTGAAAAGATCGAGAACAGAACTCTCTGTAGTGTGAGCTCATAAATTGCACAATACTAATTAATTTTATAAGCAATAAATCCGTATTTATTTCATTATTTTATTTTTGATCAGTTTTTTCAGGTGGTAGCTGTATTTTATTGTAAATTCTTCTCTGTCCTACTCAGTGATATTTAACCCCCAAACAAAATACTTGAAAGTGACATTTATTATTGCACATTCTTATTATTTCTGTCCATGTGGATGTTAGACATACCTACTGTGGAATGTTATTCTATGAATTTTATTCAAATGTGTGCCATTGTCTTATTCTCACTGTTTGCTCATTATTTTATGTCCCTAGCTTTTAATATACTTTTTGTTATCTATGATAATATCCATCATAATATCTTAAGGTAGAGCTTCATTTTTCTACTTGGAAATATCAAGGCAAAAAAAGCATGCATCTTTCAATGCTTATGAAACAGTGCTAAATAAACTGGTATATACGCAATTGCTTTAATTTATGGGACAAAATTTATTTGCCCATATTTTGATAGAATTAATTTGATATTTTACATACAATTTGATTTCTGATTAGTTTAATTCTAAGATACTAATTATAGTTTCATTCTAAAAGACTAGTATATGTGGGGTAGTCACTAAAATATTCTATTTAGTGTCAATATTAATTCTGTTGTTTATATAACATCTATAAACAGTTTTCCTGCTTTGTGAGCAAACTGTCCATTAAACAAATTCTATGACCCAAAGGAAAGGGCAAGACTACATTCTGTATAAATGCAAGCACTAGATAGCAGCAACCTGAAAGAAGCAGGCCCTTAGGAAAGGTGTACCTGTAAATTAAAGGGATGGTCTGTGGAATCCACAAGTGGCTCAGTTTCCAGTTTGAATATGAAGTCTATTCTGAATGTTCAGCCTTCCTTGCCCCAGAGCTGTGAGAAAGTCCTGATTAGTCCATGAGAAGGAACACACTATCTAGCTAGATGCAGACTGCTGATGCCAGCAGGAGATACAGCATGATAGAAAATGAAACTGCCTGCTCCTTGATCTAAGGACAGTGGTTGAATGCCTGCTCTGTGCATTATTCTACTTCTGTCCTTCAAGTTTGTATATAAGCTGGCTGTGAAATAAACTGAGACACTGTCCACTATTGACTGACAGTTCTCTCGACTCTGTTCTATGTTCTTCATTGTCACATTCCGCACACCTCTACCCAGCTACATGGTCTACTTATCTACTGGCTCCTACAATGGTCTGTACTGCTAATTAGATCACCATGTCTCCTAATTAGCAGAGCCTGATCTTGATTTATTTATCACCTGATCCAGCCTTTGGGTATGTCAGACTAGTCATCCTGTTCTCAAGATGGAAGTGCTGTTCTGTTGATTTATAGAATAAGGGGTTATGCTACCAAAAGCATACAAATGTCTTTCCTAGGTCCTGTATTTGTTCTCTGATTCTATTGCATTAAGTAGCCTAAGATCTTCTGATTGTCAGGATAAATTACCCCTTAAATTATGGCAATTTATTTATTGATCTGTTAGCTTTTTAAGGTGGAAGAATCTAAAGTATCCTGGTGGCTCCCATGACTTATTGTTTAGTGGGACACATGGGGTCATAACAAGAATTTGAGACAAATGTAGATGACTCTCTAGGCCTGCAGAGTTCAGTGCTACTGAGATTAGTATTGCCTACACATTTCACTGGAAGCAAAAAGAATGGACACTACTTCTGGTTTCAACTTTTCAATGTTGTCTATTAAATTATTAACATTGAGTAACATAGTATAAATAGAAATCTCTTACTTGATGAATATCCAACATCTATATAGATGCCACTTTTATTTTGCTCTTGGAAAATTACTTCCAAATTGTGATGGAGTGGGTTATTCCAAGGACCTGAATGGACCAACAAGGTCTAAGCTCATAGCAACATGTGTGTAGATGTAACCGACCATCTCATTAAATAAGAAACACAGAGCCAATACAGAGATGAAAGCCAAGAAGTCAAAACAATGGCTAAGAGCTAAAAACCTTACCCTTCACTGTCGATGTTGTCTTACCTCTCCAAAAGAGACCTACTTCCTGTGTGTCTGTCTTTTATAGTGTTTCTGTTCTGCCTTCTCATTGGTTGTAAACCCAACCACATGACCTCCTAGCCACTGCCTGTCTGTACAGACCTCCAGGTCTTCTATGGTTGGTATTGAGATTAAAGGTGTGTGTCTCCATGATGGCTGTATCCTTGAATACACAGAGATCCACTTAGCTCTGCCTCCCAAGAGCTGGGATTAAAGGCATGCACCACCACCGCCCAGCTTCTGCTAAGGCTTGCTATTATCTCTGACCCCCAGGCAACTTTATTTATTAACATACAAATAAAATCACATTTCAGTACAAATAAAATATCACCATACATGTGCCTCACAATAGATTCTGGAGCCAATTAAGATGCCATTTTTACCTGTGTGAATCAAGGAATATGAACATTTCCAGATAATGATGCTGCCTGAGGTTCTGAAGGCAGGAAAGTTGGGGATGCTCAGGGAAAGTATTTAATCTTATAAAGACAAAATTTTGGCCCTTCCAGAATAAATACTGCTCAAGATAAACAACTTGGCCTTATGTTTTATGGGGGTGTCAGCAAATAATTCTTTATTAACATTCATTCAATATTAATCTGTGTTGCTAACAGTTTGGGCACAAAAATACAGAGTAATTATAATAGCTAATTTGGAGTTGCAAATATGAATATGTTTTTCTATTTCCAATGTTCATAAAGCTCATTTATTTATCATATAATTTCTGGAGTGCTGTATTCTTTGTAGTAATTAAGTATGTGTCATTTTGTTTTTCAGATTTAAGAAGGAATTTTGGCATGTTCCCAAGTATAAGAACTTAAAATCTCAATGAACTGGTATACTCCTGAAATGCTTAAAGTTTACCATGTATTATGTATCATTTTTATGATCTCCACAACACTGGCCTCCTTTTAAATGATCTGTTAAACCAACACATTGCCATCAACATGACTAAACCAATGTGTAAACCATAAAACTACATGTGGACTGGTTCCCTCTGACTACATCATAGTACAAGAAACCTCTCAGGTAAGTAGCTATTATTTTAGCACTCTAAATCAGTGGATCTCAAGCTTCCTAACACTGTAACCCTTTAATACAGTTCCTCATATTGTGGTAACCCCCAACCATAAAATTATTTTATTGCTACTTCATATCTGTAATTTTGCCACTGTTATGAGTTGTAATGAAAATAACTGATATGCAGGATATCTGATATGAGACCCCCAAAAGGGTCCTTACCCAGAGGTTGAGAATTGCTGTTTTAAATTAAGAAAATGTCTATTTTTTATATGTGAAATAGAAATCAGTATTTTCATTAAGCTCATGGCATATATCATACTCTATACCCAGTGTGCTAAATGATCATCTCCAGCAATGATAATGTGTGGTACAGTGGTTTTAATCAGAGTTTCTACTTGGTTCAGCTTATTGTTGAACACAATACTTCTCCAGGAATGACTCTCTTTCTGCAAAGGCCATAATTAACAATTGAACAATGCTATGGCACAGGCTTCTGTTCATACATTTTTAAAAGTTTAAAAATGTTGCTAGTTTCTTCCATTGTCATGGACTGTAAGTGACTTTGAGTTAGTCTCTGAGTTTTTAACTGTGCCTTTCTCACGGAAATAACTTACTAAAAAGAAACAGTGTAGTTACTAGATTGCAAAGTACAAAATTTCTAAATTTGCTGGGGAAATAGTCGCAGTAAATTCATAGAACAAGTGAGTGCCTTTGGAATAAACTTTTGCAAAAATCTATTATCTGTTACATACATATTTGCTCTCAGAGGAGTAGATCATGATAGAAGACTGTTCTCAGACTATCAAAATAACCTCAAAATCTCTGTATGTTCTTCCTTTCTTACTGTAGACTATCATCTATTGATCCTTTTGGAAAAGGCCAGTGATACATTATTTTTAATAATTATATTGATGCCTTTGCCTTAACTATCTTTTTACTATTTCAGTTAAATAATTTTGAATCTAAAAATTAGTTCACGTCTGGGAACTGATGAGAATAGTTAAGGCGTTTTACTAGGATGGCTTACTCCCAGTACCATTTTTCATTCCCTTTTGGCTATGATGTTAATAGAAATCAAGTTTTGCTCCTCTAATTTGCTCCCAGGGAGAGCAAATTATATAAATCATGCCAGAAAATTCTTCCAGGCTAAGCTGCTTTGGTCTTCTTCTCCTCTTGTCATTTAGCCTTTGGAATATGGCTCGTATTCTCGTATGTGGCCTTTATCATATCAGTATTCTCGTATGTGGCCTTTGTCATATCAGGACATTATCTTCTATCTGGACATTAAGGAACCCAGTTTGGTGACTACTTCACCTGCCATTATAGGAGAAGCCAGTGAAAGTTTTAGTGTGTTTTGATTGTATATACTTCAAAATATCTATGATGATCTTTGTGAGTGACATGAGCTCTTGGAACTTACATAGAAGAGACCTCTTGGTATGTCTTTGGAATTGTAAAAATGGTTATGTAGCATTTTTACTTATTCATATTTCATCTTGTGCCATCTGCCAGGAAGCGGCTGCATTTCTATTTTGCTCAGCATTGATCATCAATCTCTTTGAGCTTCTAAGATAGAAGCATCCTACTGAGAAGCTTACATCATCCTTAGAGGTTCTTGCCAAAATGTTTAATCTCACATGATGAGAAACTGCTTCCAAGTAGATTCCTATCTATTCACTCCTTCTCTCAGCCTACCACCCACAAAAGCCAATCTGATACTCCTTTGATTCTGCTACATGTGCTGGCAACCAATTCTTAAAGTTCATATTTAGTATCATCTATGCTACCTACAGCAGGATGTCTGAGTAGTACATTTATATATTAACATTCCCAATGTTTAATAAGTACATCCCTAATCATATATATTTCATCCTATAAAGTTCATTTTAAAGCCTTTGTCAAGAGACATATTGGTATATAGGTTCTACCTGAATATATTAGCTTTTCCTAAAATGGGCACAACTAAGCTTGTTTTTATTTATTTATTTTTCAATTACGAATTGCATGGCCATAGCATGTGGCTCAATTTTCTTGCTAGCTAGCTCCTGTAACTGAAATTAACCCATTTCTATTAATCTATGTTTTGCCACATGTTCCATGGCTTACTGGTCTGCTGGCATGTTGTCCCTTGGGTGGCAGGCTGGTGTCTCCCCGCCTCTCCTTTCTCTTTCTCTCTGTCTCCCATGGATTTTCCCACCTGGCTTCATCCTGTCTGCCATAGGCCAAACGGTTTTATTTATCAACCAATCAGAGCAACACATATTCACAGTGTATAGAAGAGGAACTTGGATGACTGTCCAGGCAGGCAGCTGTCTCTGTCATTCTAGATTTTTGAAAGTTGCTCACAATGATCTTCCTGTTTACTTAGGTAATATGATAATCCTTCTGAGGTCTTTGATATACTTAAAGACTAGACAGTTATAATTATAATGTTCCTTGGCTATGATAAAAGATAAATTAGATATGAAACTTTAGACTAATAAATATGGGATAGATAGAATATTTTCTTTAATTTTGCCAAATATAAATAGACTAGATATTGTAACTGTAATTCTTGCTTAATAATTGTTTTGTTATATGTAATTTTACTATGTTAAAGTTAAAATTTTTCCTTATTTTATTAGATAGAAAAGGGGAAGTGCTTTAAGCTTGGTTATTTTAAAAAATAGATTAAGTGATTAGAAGAATATGTGATAAATTTTAGAGTAAAAATAAAATGAAAAAGAAAATGAAGAGGCATTAAGAAGCCAAGCAAGTAACCCAAGGAAGGAGAAGGGTGAGGAGGAAAGAGGCATAAAACTGAGAAGTGTTTAGACTCAATTTTAGATGGACCAAAAAATAAATGGAGACCAGAATGCTGAAAGCATCATGCATGGGAGATACATGAAGGCTTTATAAAGAATGGTGTTTTGGAATGGGGAAGCTACCCTCCAACAACATAAGGTGTACACAAGAGAATAAAAGTAAAATGAGAACAATTGGCCAGTTTACAAAGAAATTTACAGATCCTTCAAATTAACACAATATTTTGCTCAGATTCTCATTTTTTATTACAGTTGTTATACAGTATCATATTCAGAAGGCCTGTCTCCTTAGACATTTTTGTAACTTGACAGATAAAATTATACGTGCTTATCAGGTATAGCATAGTGTTTTGAATGTGAATACATTATTTAGTGATAAAACCTAGCTAACTGACATATGTGTTATGCCATTTAGACATTATGCTGTAAGTCAAAACACTTAATATCCTCTTTCTCTTTAGCATCCTGTAAGAACACAGTGTGGCGTTAACTATTTTGGTTTGACTACCAAATTCCTGTCACAAGCTTATTTTATGGATGCTTGATTAACAATTACAGGAACAGTCTTGGGAGATTGAGAAACTTTTAGATATTTTTCGTGGTACATATTAACTACAATCATACTAGAAAACAAATCTCCCCATATCATTCATCCTTTGCAATTTAAACCTTGTGTCCCTTGACCAACATCTCAATACACTCCACCCTCACTGCACAGCTCTCACTCTAACTTGCCATTTTACTCTCCATTTCTAGAATATAAACTATTTCATTTTCTGTATTTTCAAAACACTTCAGCAATTCTGACAAATGTGAGCACAGTGAACAATAGATCAGGACTATGCTTATACCAATTCATAGCCATTTATGCAAAAATGAACTAAGGAAAATGCAGAAATGAAGAAAAATGTGTATATTACATTGTCCTACATGTGTTGTATAAATACAATATTACTTATTTCAAATTTACCACACAGTCAAAAAAATTCCTGAACAGTCAGATTTGCTCTCAAGTTCTGAGTGGAAGGAAGAGATTATGCTTAAGTGTCCTTAATTTAAAGTGAGCAATGATGAAGTAAGCCTTAGTGGTTTTCCATGAGTATTAACCATTCTCTAATGAGTCATCCTCTATTACATGGTTTCTGAAACTCTAAATGACTCGGATCCATCACTTTTGGCAGGGAAAAACCAATGTATTCTGAGGTTTCAAATAAACTAATATTATCATGGTAAATTAGTGCTTCCATTTTCACACTTAAAAAGGTTCTTCCATAGAAATGAATTTATCCAGGTGAGATGTTCGGACTTGTGGTTGGTGTCAGACAAGTTGTCTGAAAAACAAAAATTTAAATATATAAAAATTTTAATTATTATTTAAGTGACATTTTATTACTTTAAAATATCTTTACTATGTAAAAATGATCAAACTTATAGTAGAATGTGTTGTATGTATGTGGGTTTTTATGTCTTATTTACTTGGGATATAGATAATGAAATAAATATTTAAATTGTGTAGGATTCTTACTACACACAGATTTAGACAACAAAGCAGAAGTGCATTGTTTATTATTCAAATTTGTTAAAGCAAGTGAGCTTCAATATTAACTATCCTATGAATTATACGTTGATTGGTCATCACTTCTTTAATGGAGCAAAATTATGTTTCTTATTCGACATTACAGAATTTCTTTGCATAATTTACATTATAGATACAAAATACCTCATTGGATATTAGCATAAGATCTCATCTGATAGCTACAAAATATAGTGAAAGTATATATACTTTCATGTTATAACTTGCTATTTTGGAAGTTTGTATACATCAGGATTATGGTACATGAAACCTAATGATGAGATAATAAATGAGTTTATTTTTACTTTCTTCATCATATATTAAACCAGATTATGTTTCTCAGATTTTAATGTGGTAAATAAATGGTGTTTTTGATATTTATGCATGTAATAGAGATTTCTAGCTCAAAGGGAACATTATTTTTAAAACCTTGAATAATAATTCCTTTTTTAAAATTTCTTTGCAATATTGTTGATGAAAGGTATACTTTTGTATTTTATCCTCCGAAATGTTATGATTCTGATTGTTATGTTGGTTAGCTAAAACTTCAACCAAAATCATTTATTTAATTTTCTTTTCTTTCTTCCTCCTCACAAGTGTGTTTAAATATTGAAACAGCATATTTTTTTCTAACATTTTTATTCTAAGACTGAATTCCTCACAAATAGGAGTCACACATGAATGAATGAAAGAACATGATCCTGACATAGCTATTTGATGAGCAAGCAAGAAGCTTGTATAAAATTCCCTCCAAATTCCAGTTATTGTGACTTCCTGCTATATGGACAACCCCTTTACAATTTCTCCTAAGGAAAAAAATGGTTTTCTACTTTTCTTTTTTTTTTTTTTTTTTTTTGTAATTTCAAGTATTGTTTTACTCATTAGTATAGTAACCTGATTTACAATCTACTCTTAGAAATATACTCATTTTAGTTCTCCTTATTATCAGTTATGTTGCATTTTTTCCCAGAGTGTTTTTATAAATACAAGGAGATATAACCTTTTCATCCATTAACTTAATGAAAAAAGTTTATTTGATTTAATTTCCTTCAGTTCTTTCTAAAATAGGCAGTGTCTAAGCATGCAATACAATGTTACTTAATTCCAGAAGTAACTAAGAGCATAGAAACAGAAGTAATAAGAGGATTCACACCTCACTAATGAAGTGAAATTAAGTTTCATTTTGATGGTTGTGAAGGAAAGATAACTCTGAATTATGCCAGTGTTGAAGATTCAACTCACATGAATGAGGTTAGTGTCACATGTTTAATATGCAATTTATTTTCTTTCATAAGATGTAGTCAGGACAGCCCAGTTTTCTATCCCCTAGGCCCCGGGGCACATTCTGTGCCACTCACCCCCGCACCTCTGCGCAGCCATTGCAGCCCCAGAGACTGGGCAGCAGCCTCCTCCCCTGCCCCTTGCCAACCATTCTCTGCCACACCAAGGACCACTGGAGCCATACATCCCTCCTACACCTCCTTCGCTGATTTCGAAGAAGAGAAACCACTGGAGCCACAGGCTCTACCTGCACCAATCAGAAAAAGAGTGACTTGGAGCTCCATCTGTATGGATTAAAGGAAGAAATGGGTAGGCAGCTGTGTAAGAACACATTCAACAACATAAAGAGCAAAATGGCACCACCAGAACCTAGTGATCCTGTAGTGGGTAGCTTTTGGAGCCATGAACTGAACATCCATCTCTAGTTATGTAACAGGTAACTGTTACACTTGCCTATGATTTTGAGGGACAAAACCCTGGGGTGTGGCCACTCTGGGACCCATAAGACCTGGGATGCATATACATGGCTCTCTCTTCACTACGTTGTGGTTTTGGATGCTGGGATGGTCCAGGGAAGAGCTCTCCAGAGAACAGCTTTGGACCTTGCCTCACCCTTCCAGGATTTTGTGACAAATTCCTTTATTCTGTCTTGTGAGTTAACCCCCAAATAAATTCCTTTGATCATTAAGCAGACTCTGTGGATTACTAGCAATATAATCCCAATATGATCCTACAACAGCAAAATCTGAACATTCCAATGCAGATGATCCAGAAAAAAAACAACCTTAAAAACAACATTATGAAGACTGTAGAGGCCCTAGAAGAGGAAATGAAAAATTCCCTTAAAGAAATGGAGGAAAAGACAAACAAAAATTAGAGGAAACCAATAAATCCCTTAAGAAACCTAAGGAAAACAATCAAACAGGTAAAGGAAATAGTTCAAGACTTGAAAATTGAATAGATGAAATAAAAGAAAACACAAACTGTGGGAATTCAGGAAAAGAAAAATCTGAGTAAACAAACAGAAACTACAGAGGTAAGCATAACCAATAGAATACAAGAGATGGAAGAGAGAATCTCAGGTGTTGAGGATACCATAGAGGAAATAGAATCATCAGTCAAAGAAAATGTTAAATTCATCAAATTTTTAATGTACAACATCCAGGAAATCTGGAACGCCATGAAAAGGCCAAACCTAAGAATAATAAGGCTAGAAGAAGGAGAAGAACTTCAGTTCAAAGGCACAGAAAATACATTCAACAAAATCATAGAAGAAAACTTTCCCAACCTAAAGAAAGACATGCTTATGAAGGTACAAGAACCATACAGAACATCAAATAGACTGGACCACAAAAAAAGTCCCCTCACAACATAATAGTCATTCAAAATAAGGAAAGAATATTAACAGCAGCAAAGGAAAAATGTCTAGTAACATATAATAGCAGACCCATCAGAGTAACACCCAACTTCTCAATGGAAACTCTGAAAGCCAGAAGGTCCTTGACAGACATTCTGTAGCTGCAAAGAGACCACAGACACCAGCCCATAATACTTTACCCAGCAAAGCTTTCAATCACCATAGAGAAACAAAATATTACATGACAAAACCAGATTTAAACATTACATATCCACAAATCCAGCCCTATAGAAAGTATTAGAAGAAAAACTCAAACCCAAGAAAGTTAGCTGCAACCACCAAAACACAGGCAATAAATAACCTCATACCAGCAAATCCCAAAGATGTGAAACACACACACACACTACCACTGCAACCACCAAAACCAAAAAAAAAAATTACAGGAATTAACAATCACTTGTCATTTATATCTCTTAATATCAATGGACTCAATTCACCTATAAAATAACACAGACTAACAGAATGATTTGAAAACAGAATTCATCCTTCTGCTGCACACAAGAAACATACCTCAGTCACAAAGACAAACATTACCTCAGAGTAAAGGGTTTGGAAAAAAATTTCCAATTAAATGGACCTAAGAAACAAGCTGTTGTAGCTATGGAAATATCTAACAAAATAGACTTCAAACTTAAACTAATCAAAGGAGATGGAGAAGGACATTTCATATTCATCACAGGAAAAAAACATCAAGATCAAGTCTTAATTCTGAACATTTTTACTTCAATTACAAGGGCACCTACTTTTGTAAAAGAAACATTTCTAAAACTTATATCATATATCAAACCCCACACTAATAGTGGGAGACTTCAACACCCACTCTTACCGCTGGACAAGTCTACTAGACAGAAACTAAACAGAGAAATGAGAGAACAAACACAGATGTTATGACTCAAATGGACCTAACAGATATCTATAGAACATTTCACCCAAACACAAAAGAATATACATTCTTCTCAGCACCTCATGGAACCTTCTCCAAAATTTACCACATACTCAGTAACAAAACAAATCTTAATAGATACAAAAGAATTGTAATAACCCCTGTATTATATCGGACCACCATGGCTTAAAGCTAGAATTCAACAACCACTCATATTGCAGAAAGCCAACAAACTCATGGAAACAATGTGCAACTGAACAATCACTGGGTCAAGGAAGAAATAAAGAAAGAAATTAGACTGCCTAGAATTCAATGAAAATGAATGCACATCATACCCAAACTTATGGGACACTATGAAAGCAGTGCTTAGAGGAAAGTTCATAGCACTAAGTGCTAACATAAAAAAAAAAAGTTGTGGAAATCTCACACTAGAAACTTACAGCACACCTGAAAACTCTAGAACAAAAAAAAAACTCATCTAGGGGAGTAGATGACAAGAAATAATCAAATTGAGGGCTGAAATAAATAAAATAGAAACAAAGAGAACAATAAAAATAATCAATGAAGCAGATTTGTTTTTTTGAGAAAATCAACAAGATAGACAAACCCTTATCCAAACTAACCAAAAGACAGAGAGAGAATGTTCAAATTAACACAATCAGAAATGAAAAGGGGGAAATAACAATAGACACCGAGGAAATTCAGAGAATCATTAGGTCATACTTCAAAAACCTGTACTCCACAAAATTGGAAAATCCAAAAGAATTTGACAATTTTCTGGATAGATACCATATACCAAAATTAAATCAAGATCAGATAAACAATGTAGATAGACCTATAGCCCCTAAGAAAATAAAAGCAGTCACTGAAAGTCTCCCAACCAAAAAAAAAAAAAAAAGGAGGCCAGGACCAGATGATTTCAATGCAGAATTCTACCAGATTTTCTAAGAAGAGCTAATACCAATACTTGAATTTGTTTCAAACCACAGAAACAGAGGGAACATTGCCAAACTCTTTATGAGGCTACAGTTACCTTGATGCCCAAACAACACAAAGATTCAACAAAGAAAGAGAATTACAGACAAATCTCCCTCATGAACATTGATGCAAAAATATTTAATAAAATACTGGCAAACTAAATCCAAGAAGACATGAAAAAAATTATCCACCATGATAAAGTAGGCTTCATTCCAGAGATGCAAGGATGGTTCAACACTTGAAAATCTGTCAATGTAATCCACCATATAAACAAACTGAAAGAAAAAAAAAACACATCATCTCCTTAGATGCTGAATGAGCCTTTGACAAAATATGACATCCCTTCATGATAAAGGTGTTGAGGAGACCAGGGATACAAGGAATATATCTAAACATAATAAAGGCAATATACAGCAAGCCAACTGCCAACATCAAACTAGATATCGAGGAACTCAAAGCAATTCCACTATAATCAGGAACAAGAGATGTCCACTTTTTCCATATCTGTTCAGTATAGTACTCAAAGTTCTAGTTACAGCAATAAGACAAGAAAAGGAGATCAATCAAGGGGATCCAAACTGGAAAGGAAGAAGTCAAACTTTCACTGTTTGCTGATAATATAATAGTACATATAAATGACACCAAAACTTCTGCCAGGGAACTCCTATAGCTGATAAACACCTTCAGTAATGTGGCAGGATACAAGATTAGCTTAAAAAATCAGTAGCTCTCCTATACACAAATGATAAATAGGCTGAGAAAGAAATTATAGGGGAACATCACACTTTAGAATAGCTACAAATAACAGAAAATATCTTGGGATAATTCTGCTGTGGAATAATGCTTTAGTATACTGGCTTAATAAAATGCTGATTGGCCAGTAACCAGGCAGGATTTATAGGCAGGATAAGCAGGAAAGGAGAATTCTGGGAAGAGGAAGGCTGAGTGAGGAGACACCAGGCTGGCATCCAGGGAGCAGCATGCAATGGCACACAGGTAAAGCCATAGAACATGTGGCGACACATAGATTAACAGAAATGGGCTGAGTTTAAGTGTAAGAGCTAGTCAGTAGGAAGCTTGAGCTAATGGCCAAGCAGTTCTAATTAATATATGCTTCTGTGTGTTTACTTGGGTCTGAGTGTCTACAGACTGGGCAAGACACAGAAAAACTTTAAGCACATAACTCTAACCAAATAAGTGAAAAACCTGTATGACAAGAACTTTAAGTCTTTGAAGAAGATATCAGAAAATATAAAGATCTCCTACACTCTTGGATAGGTAGGATCAACACAGTAAAAATGGAAATCTTACCAAAAGTAATCTATAGATGCAATGCAATTTCCATCAAAATCCCAATGCAATTTTTCACAGACCTTGAAAGAACAATACTGAACTTCATATGGAAAAAGAGAATATGCAGAATAGCCAAAACAATCCTATGCAATGAAGGAACTTCTGGAGGCATCACCATCCTTGACTTCAAGGTCTACTATAGTAATAAATCAGCTTGGTATTAGCATAAAATAGACATGTTGATCAATGGAATCAAGTTGAAGGCACTGAAATTAATTCAAACACCTAGAAACACCTGATTTTTGACAAAGAAGCCAAAATTATACAATAGAAACAAGAAAGCATCTTCAACAAATAGTGGTGTTATAACTGGATGTTTACATGTAGAATGATGCAAATAGATCCATATATATGACAAAACTCAGGTCTGAATGGATCAAAGACTTGAACATAAATCCAGTTACACTAAACCTCATAGAAAAGAAAGTGGGAAGTATCCTTGAACGCATTGGTACAGGAGACCACTTCCTAAATATAACACCAGTAGCACAGACACTGAAAGCAACAATTAATAAATGGGACCTCTTGAAACTGAGAAACTTCTATAAGCTGAAGGACACTGTCAATAAGAAAAAATGGCAGCCTACAGAATGGTGAAAGATCTTTACCAATCCTACATTTGATAGAGGGCTGATCTCCAAAATACATAAAGAAGTCAAGAAACTAGACATCAAAATACCAAATAATCCAATTTAAAAATGGGCTACAGATCTAAACAGAGAATTCTCAACAGAAGAATCTCAAATGGCCAAAACACATTTAAGGAAGTGTTCATCATCCTTAGCCATCAGGGAAAGGCAAATCAAAATGACTCTGAGAGTGGCCAATATCAAAAACACTGAAGACA